TGAAGTTAAACAATAGTGAAAATCAGACCTGAAAAAATTCAGGCCAGTATGGGATTCGAACCACTAACCTCTGCGATATTAAGTGCAGCGCTCTACAAATTGAGCTAACAAACCAAATTAGTCCGACATAAACCCGTAAGATGATAAATCAAACACAACAAATATATGAAATTCATATATCTGAACTGCGGTTATAGAAAGGTATTTGTGCACTATCTCCTTAGCAAAGAGTACTATTTAAGCAATAGTGAAAATCAGACCTGAAAACTTTGTATAGGTAATCGCATGGGGCCGGAGTAAAATTAAGGGTTAATATCACGCGTGTTTTCGGAAGTTGCTGAAATTGCCCGAGTCGCGCAGCGACGAGGGAAATTTCTGCAACTTCCGAAAACACAAGTGATATTAATCCTCAACTTTACGAGGAACCATTGTGATTGCTTGTTTATAATATATGGGGCAAAATAGGCAAAATGTTTTCTTACTGATCTCGCGCAAAACGGGACGCCATTGTTACAAAACAAACAGAAATTTCCTTACCTTGGCAGTCGTTCCTAAGCGATTTTCAGCCAATCATTTTCAAGTAGTTTTTCCCGGGGCAATTACAAATATTAAGAAAAAATGCTCTCTATCTTGACCAATCACAATTCAGTAACTTTGCCCCTTATATAATAACAAACCTGTGCGAGATTCGAGCCGTTACCTCAATTGGTAGATCACTGCACTAGTATCACAGGGGTCAGTAGTTCGAGTCCCGCAGAGGTCTGAATTTTTTCAGGTCTGATTTTCACTTCTGCTTAAAAAGTGCTCTTTACTGCGAAGATGTGCACAAATACGTTTAAATCACTTATCTCAAGTTAAACGTTAATAAAACTTTTTTAGTGAAAGCTCCCTGTAATTTGTATTACCACTGCATGTATTCTCTACTACCTAATTATTCAGTTTACTGCCTTTCAAGGGAGATCCTCGTTTGTAAGAACAAATCCCAGACTTAAGAAAAAAGGGAGACTTCGAGACCGAAAAGAAAAGCAGTGAAAACGCGATATCGGTACTTTTCGGATTAAAGTTTACGTGAAACCACCATTCATGGGTTGAAATTGCCCCTGTGTGAGCAGATTTCAGGCGGGCAGAGGAAAAGAGGGGATTGTTAACAACACACTGAAGATAGCCAACAGCAAGTTATTACTTTTTGTTTCACTGTTTTCCAGCTTTAATGAATACTGCGTACATTACCTCTTTGGCTGTAAATTGGGAAAGGCCTTCGATTTGTTTTTGCTTATTTAGTATACAATTGTAACCGCTGTGATAAATCTTGACCTGTTTCAGTCCAGATAAATGACAATACGGGAGTTTACCTCCACCTTTAGATTAGTAAGAGCGGGAAGAAGGATTATGAACTTGAACTTGACATAAACTTGAAAGTTAGAAGGATCTAACCTCGCTTCAAAGTAACGCCAGCTCTCTGACCCACTTGACGGGCGTCCTAAGTGTTGTAGGATCACAATGTTGACTGACCCCTCTGAACGTCTAGAAGAAACTTCGCCATTAAAATAAAGTTAATAGTTTCTTGTGTTGCATCCATATGGGGATATAGCTAAGTTAGAAATCTTGCAATAAACTTGCTCCTCACACAAAGCTATCATTGACTAGCCTAAGACCAGTTTAATTGTTCAAGTGCTCAAAAAATAAAGTGTTTTTCGCAGAAGCCAATAGTTCAAAATTCGGCTGAGAACTTGTGGTCTCACGTGGACACCATCGCAGCTCCAGACCTCCAAAAATACTGAATAGGAGCTTTGTCTGCTTTCCTCTTTTGCTCGGATGACCTCGAACTTGTTAGGATTTGGGATGAACTCGTAACTGAGTTAAGTAAGGTTCTCACATGTCCGTTCTTTGTATTTGTTGCAGCTTCCTCCCTGTCCCCTGTGACTGGTGATCGTAAGTATTAATATTCGTCATAGATGTCTGCTTTTGAAACTATAGTTTTGCTTTGTGTTAAGTCGACAGGATTTCTCATAATTACTAAGGTAATGGTAACAACAATTAAATATG